TGCTTGAGAAACATTTTTTTTCCCCCACCAACACCATAAAAATAAATAAATAAAATCTGGTATTGAAGAAAAGTGGCAGAACAAAACACTTCACCTTGAGCTGACTCCAAGCAGAGAAGTGCTGAAGATGCAAGTGTAAAAGAGAACATAACTGAAATGCCAAAATGAAAAGATGCAAGAAAATATTGAGAAATAAGTGTACAGTGGAAAACACAAAACACCTGCTCAGTTGACAAAGTTGGGGGGAATTGGCTGTTGACAATAAATCCTAGCAGATATGTTTTTAACATTGATTGCTTAATGTTATAGGAGAGAAAAATGCATGTCTTTCAGGAAGAGACAGACAGGCAAGACACCTCAGGAAGTTGCTTCCTTTGGTTTTCCATAGTTGACCTAGGAAAATAAGTCATGAAGCCAATCTAATACAAAGCATACCAAGATAAACACCTTAGCCATGGGTTCATGGGTTCTTCTTTCACCTTCCTTCCATATGAAAGGCTGTAAGAACAAAATTTTGCTATTTTCAATTCATAAGTGATGGGGGTTTACCCCCAAAAGCACACATTTATCTTTTAAAATCACCTATACTAGAAGCAATACCCAAATATCTGTTAGATTACATGAGAATAACAAATATACTTTCTGAAGTAAGTCCCTTACCCAAATAAGTCGAGGACCAGTACAGGCTGGAAAGCTGAAAAACCAGGCAGTAACTAGTCTAAAATAAATTTTAGGGATTGAGTCAGAGTCTTTTGCCCAATTAATACCTCTAAACTAAAAATCTATAATGGCTGAGGGCAACATTTCCAAAACCTGAGTCTCCTCCTACTAAAATGAACGGAATGAAACATTATTTAAAATGACACTTGGTGATTCCAGCTCTTCCACTGTGGTTATACATAGTTTTTGTCATGTTTATTTGATTTTTGCTCAAATGCGTTAAGTTGTACTCAAATACACAATTTTGCTAAAAGAAACACAGCAAAGGCTTTATTTATTTCTTTGATGCTTAGCAGGGGGAAAGGTGTTAATGCTTTTTAATTTGTAGCAGAATTTGATACCCCTTTCAACGGATTAAAAGAAACTTCTCATAAACCATAAGGACCAAGGGACCCAAAGGTCCAGGTGTTCGTTCACCCAAACAGAAACCTGGGGACTCTTGTGCAGTGATTTCCCCCGCTCAAACACCTTATTTAGGATATAATGCAATTAGCACCTCTGCAGCAGAGTCTGATTTGGCAGTTTTCATCAACCGCCTCCCGGGCTGGTCAGGGCCGCTGGGTGACACTTGAGATCTGAAGAGCGCGGGTAAAAATAACCTCTGCTCAACAAGCCGTGATGAGCACCAGACAGCTGAGTCACCTCTGAAAGCAATTTTGATTTTGTCCATTAGAGGAAAATATTAAAGAGAGGGGGGAGAAAGCCCTCAAAAACCCATTCCAAACCCATCTCTCATTGACCAGACTGTCACGATGCCTTTAGGCTCCGTCACCAACTTCAGCTTCTCGTCAACATCTCCTCGGCATCTCACCCCCAGCGCCACTGAGAAATCTCTGCTCAATGCAGAGGAGCAACTTCCTACAGAATTTCAACTCTGTTTAAACAACGTAATTTCCAAGCACGTGTTTCTGGCACAGCATCCGCTCGTTATTTAGCTGGCGTTTCCAACGTTCTCAGCAAAGACAGAACCAAGTCAGGCCCCAGATCCGCAACAGAAAATGCACCCGCGGAGCTCAGGGATGCTCCGCAAGGCAACTATAAGGTGACAGAAGGTTGTTCTAGGTCAGACACTCACTTAAGCGCAAACTAAACGGGCGAGGGGGGAAGCACAAGTTCCCTGAAGTCCAGGGACGTAACTGAAATCCCTGGAGAGAAAGTGTTTCAGGGAGACTTTCACCATGACTTTCAACCTTTTCTTTGAAGACTTTCCTTAAAAGATCCTAAACATAAAGAAATAAGCAGCTATACAGCGTGATAAAACACCATTTTTTCCATTTTTCCTAACAAGGAAAGAAAAAAAAATGGAAAAAAAGGAAAGAAAGACAAAGCGAGCAGGAAGGTCAGCTCCTTCCCCTTGCAAAGGCTGCGCACACCTCGGACAACCTCCAACTCCTCTCGCAGGCAGCAGGGAAGCATCCAGGCACCGCCGCGTCGGGCGGAACGGGGGGAAAAATAACGGAAACGCGGGAATCCCGGGACGCAGCGCGGCAGGGAGGGAAGGGGCAGAGGGGCGCGGAGGCGGCACTCACGGGCGACTCGTAGGAGAAGGCGCACTCCGTCTTGTAGACGCGGTCCCCGGACTTGGGCACGCGGATCGTGGGCATGTAGGGCACGAGCAGCTCGCCCACGTCGCCCGCGGCCATCTGCGCCTCGCCGCCGAGCAGCGCAGCCCGCTGCATGGCCGCGCGCGCGGGCAATGGAGGCGGGAGGGCAGCGGGGCCCGGCGGCGGCGGCGGGAGCCGGGCCCGGCGGCGGCAGGGAGGGAGGGAGGGCAGGGGGCGGGAAAATGCTATTTATACTGCAATGGCAGCGGCACCAGCTGCGGCGGCACCTCGGGGTCCCAGCAGGGGCGGGAAGAAGGCGGGACCCCCCTCAGGGGCGCCGCGAGCGACCGTTATGGGGACTCGGGGCTGCCGCGCTCGCCGCCAAGGGCGCAGCTCCCGCAGCGCCGCCGCCGCCGCCGGCAGGGCAGCCCGGGCAGGGCGGCGGTTGCCCGGGCAGGGAGAGCTCCCGCCTCGGCGCAGCCGCTGCGGGCGGCGCGAGCGGGAACCGCCTCGGCGCGAGATGGCGCCCGGCGGCCAGGGCAGAGCGGCGGGTCTGACCCGCGCTCCGCGTGAGGGACGGGGAGGAGGAACCAGAGCTACGGCCAGATGCACGAAATGCCCGTTTTGTTTTTGTCTGTCCAAGGAGCATCCTGTCGGGACCATCATCAGGATTAAAGAAATGATGGATCCATTTAAAATGAAGCCATGTAATTCATCTAAGTGGCCTCGCAGCTGTAGCTGACAGGATCTGCGAGGGTTCGTGGGTGACTCCCCAGTAGGTGACTTGGAAAATAGTAACTAAAAACACTGATTTCGTGTCACTTAGCAGCAAGCTGTACATGGATGATCTCTGCTAGAACTGCTCTTTACCTCAAAAACTGAAGGGTGAAAAAGTGGCTCTGAATTAATAGTAGAGCTGAAAAAATGAGGACTTTGTATCCATCAATAAAGAAATGGGCTGCAGGAGTGAGTAACCAGCACAATCTGTGCTCAGCAGGGTTTTTCAATCAAAATTCAAAGTTTTGGAAATTGTGAAACATGGAGAGCAAAGTATGAGCTCAGTGAAATGGCTTTAGACTTGCACAAAAAGAGAATTCACATCAAAGAGCCATAAAATTCTCACGTCTTTATCATGTTTGGCACTGGCAGGAAACAGCAAATGAGGCTATGTTTACTTCAAATATTCTAAGTACTATTGTTCAGTGCAAGGAAGTTCATTAGTTTTGCAGTCTAAAACCATGACAAGACAAAAAAAAATTGCTACAGAAATTTGGCTTATTTCCTTTAAAAAAAAAATCCTCAGGTAATTTAGGACCACAAACTCTGGGAGGCACAGTCCTTCACTCTGTGATTTATAACTAGAGGAATACCACGGCCATTAAAATCTGCAGAAACATATCCCTCTAGTGGCAGGAGCCTGTCAGATAAATAATCTTTCCACTTTTTTTTTTCCTCCCTCAAAATAGTATAGAAAAAGAACGTAAGAACTTTGAAATTGTACATTTTTATTATTATTCCACACCACCTTAGAGAAAGAGGTCTTTATATGATACCCTAAATACTAACATCTTGGAACTCTCTTACATGGTCTTTCTCTATACTATATATATATTTGGAGGATAAGGGTTTTGAAATTTTCATCTTGGTATTATTTAAGACTTATTTTATGTATCTACTAAAAATTGAAATGACACAGCAGAATACCTGTTTACCTAACAGCTATTATCCATTAAAAAAAAAAATGCAGTTCTCTCCATCTTGATCCTTGTTTTTCATATCTCGAGTGATCCTTTTGTAATAGCCTCTGTATTAGGCCTCTACGAGGCCTAATAAGCCTCACCTTATTATGCTTGTTACAGGAAGAAAACTGTCCATTTAACAACAGTATCAAAAATAGATACACATAATTTACGAAGGAAATATTTAATTTCATATTTCTTCACTTTGACTCTTCCTAATAATGAAGCAAGTTCTACATGTCAGACTATAGATTTTAGAACTAAGAACTGCAGGATGTTTTCAATAGTATGCAAAAGACATTCACAAAATCCTTAACCAAATTTATATCCACTAAATACTCTTAAAGTTTAAAATTTCTTCATTTTCTTTTTAGTTCTGCAGTGATAGTATAAATCATAACCGCTATAGGTTTAGACAAGTGCTTCTGTCTCAACTGAGCCTTCTCAAAGCACAGATAATAGCTGACATAATAAAATCAAAAGCTCATTAAAAATTAAAGACAATCCTCCCTAGAACTACTAGACATGCATTTCTCCAAGTCACCTGATACTCATTTTTAAAATCAAAATGAGGTAAGAGTAAGTACCTCTCAGTAAAATTTTGCTATCGCATGTTACAGAGCACTGCCTTTGTTTAAGCCTGCCTCAATGAAGATATTTTCTCCCATGAAGGGAGTATCTGGCTCCACTTTAGATCTGCTAGAAATGGAAGTCTGAACTGAAATGGCCAGGTTGAGTATTTAAACATTAAAAAAAAAAAAAAAAAAAAAAAAAAGGCCTTACAGTTGCTTGTTGCTTAGAAGTTTGGGTACAAGAAATCACATGATGGATACTAACATTATCAAGTTGCTTCACACAGATTAGGCCATCCATCTATGTTGATACTCCAGGGAAAAAGGAAATCACTGCTACCAAATGACCTGAGGCCTTTTCTCCAATTTATAAGTTTAACAGCTGCACTCGCTTAGCTGCCACAGCTTCTTTCAAATAACTGAAATCAACAAAAAAAGTTTTATTTTTATTTAGTTCAGTGAACAACAGGATGCATATTGCATAATTCAGTCACAATTCGTTGGTATGCACTTAAAACTCCGCATACTGTCTTAGGACTTCTTAGTTGTCAGGTGTGGATTTGAAAGAATCGTCGGTAAGATTTTTATCAGGTGTTTCGTAATGATACCAAGGTCCATCTCCCCTTGCCCTCATCAATCTGCGTGCCTCCAATGTCATCAGCCTTTAGAAAGAAACAAGAGTCAGTGAACATATAGGGTGTTTTTTTGACAATAATGCTTAGCAGTAACAGTGCATTGCTGACAACAGCAGTAAATTTAGCATCTGCATTTAAAAGTACTATCGAAACATACATAGTAACAAAACATGAAGAGTTCAACTAGAACATGAAATAATACATTCTTCTGTTGTTTCTTCTTCTTTTTTTTCCCCCTCCAAGGAAACCATTTTACAAAACAGTAATTAAAGGATCTGCAGAACCTCTGTCAGTTTCTTGCTTAGCAAATGGGTTTCTGACACAGCTTTCAGTCAAAAATAAACAGGTGACGGGAAAACAAAAACCGATCATGGTGGTAGCTGGACCTACTTGATCTTGGTTCCAAAAGAAACATTTCAATAAACTTAAACGTGGAGTAGCTGAGGCACAGGAGCTCTCCATTTCCTGATTTACAACCACAGAGTCGCAACTGTACAAACATGAACTGTTCTGGAGAGGCACTGCTGTTCTGAATGACTGCCTCTGGATTGCTCCAGTTCTGGAAAAGTTAATATCAGGAAGGTAGGGACTCCAAAACACCAACAGACAACAGGCTTCAACACCAGACAGCGCAGCTAGTGCCCAGGTGAAGTGAGGCTTGACAAGCAGGTACATTATGTCAGCAACCAACTCTGCATTTTAAGCAAAATACAACTGTGAACCATGGCATATATCCACTTTTAAAATCTTCTTAACCCTACCTCATTTCAGCTTTCTTGGCTTCAACATCAAGCAGAGCCATGCATTTCTCATAATCTTTTTCTGGAGGGTCAAGGATGTAACGAGCTATCCAACGACTTATAGGATGCTAGCAAATATAAAAGCATAGATTATTCACATAATTCCCAAGTAAAATGTTATTATGCATAAATCACATTGCATGTTTCCAATCCCAAACACACGATTAACTCCAACTACTGCTATTCAGATGACTACAGTAAAGCTAAATACATACTCATCTTCTTTATAAGACCATAGTCCTAAAAATTTGTATTTAACTTTGTTATTTTGATGCCAAGATGATCTGTAGGAGAATATTCTGTAGCAAAATTAAAAACAAGTTAATGGAGGAGATGTAATGTATTTTGATTTTAATGAAATTAACTTCCTTGAACTGCCACAAGAGGATATGGTCATCCCTATTATCTCACTCCACACACTTTCTTCCCCAAACTAGTTGGAAAAAAAAGCTATTTCTGCTAAAAGTTACACTCACTTTGTAGTATTCCCAGTAGTCTGGAACATAACCTTCAGGAATCTCCGCAAGCTCAGCTTCACCTGACAGGTAAAAGAGCAGATGAACATTTCACATAAGTAATCTTCAAAATACTACATATTCCTCCTTCCACATAAAAAAAAAAAAAAAAAAAAAAAACCCTTCCACAAGGAGAGGGTTCCCTCCAATAGAATCCTCTTCAGAAAAAAAAAATGCACTTCTGATTTTTTCCAGGTATATCACATTAGCTCACAGATTTTAAAATCACATAACCAAAGGGCAAAATTGGCAACTATGCAGAAGAAATAACTAAGATTAAGTCCACACAAATGCCCATTTAAAATATGAAAGTATACTTTTCTATAATCTCTCGACTAAATCAATTCAATAGTAATTATTACAGTACTACATTTAAAACAAAGATTACTAGTCTTTTGAAATTATTATCATTATTTTGGGGTAGCTAACAACACACAATATATGCAGAATTCTTATAGAAATATGTAAAACCAGGTAGAGACACCTCCTTACTGGAATACAGTAGAACCATTCAGTAATCCTAAATGTTCAGAAAAAATAGAGCACTCATTTGAATTTCCAAATTAAAAAAAAAGCTTTTACAAAAATCAACAGGCAAACAAAAACAACAAAGAAACTGAGAATATTCTCTATTGACATAACCTCTTTCATGATCTTCTAAAGAAGAAACCATAGAAGAACCGGAATTTCTACCCAGCAAAGTTTCTATTCAGCCACTTAATAATTTTCACTGTGTACTTATGTTAAGCAGAACAGAGCACTCACCAATGAAGATGTTCACGTATGTTATGAGTATTGCCACTGGTAACCCAGTCAAAAGAATATAGAACCTCTGCATGGGGGATTAAAAAATATAAAAATAAATCAGTAGCCTGACAAAATTAAGGTGAAGTTAGTCTGAAAATTAGGTAAAAACCATTAAGACTTGTACTTGCAGGCGGCATAGGAATGTAGTGTATAAAGTAATACTGCGCATTAAAATTGATTAACAAGCTCAAACATAGAAACAGCAATGCTGTAGCAGTCCACGGGCCCACTTGGTTCAGCATTTGGCCTTCAAATGAGAGGACAGCTTCTGAAGACAGCCACACAGCAGTGCTTTGCACGAACGCTGCCCCAGCGTCTTGTGATACTGGGTTTCAGCATTTCCCTGTAACACTATATAACGTAACAGGAATATAATCACTGGTGGTATAATCACTTCCACAACTGGGGAGATGCATAGAGGCGAAGAGAAACAGAAACACCTGCAAATTACACAGACGTGAAAGCTCACACCAGTCTCCACCATTTAGCCAATCTTACATCTTTTTACTTCATCTGCCTTGATTTCACAACATATGCCGAATAAATCAATGAAACAGCAAATCATTTAGAGGGATGACTGGAAATCCTTGTCTATGTGACAAGTAGCAACCACCTTTTTCATAAATCTCCATTCCTACATAACTTGGTGGTGATTTATTACACCAAACCTAATGCATCCTTTAAACTCACCAACAGCTTCAGAAACCGGGAATCATAGAAACTCGTTGCCTTGATGATAAACATTCGCTTCCCATGGCTGCTGTGCCGGACAGGAGCTGCAAGAGAAACCCAGGGAGTTCTGCGGTTTTCCCTCTGCCCTCGGTGCCCGCACCCTGCTCACCAACACAACACAGCCGAGGTGGGGACAGCAACGCAGGGTAAAACAGCCAGCTGCGGCCCGGCAATCAGCAGGCGGTTTTCCCGGGGGGCTGCCGCTCCCAGGGGGTGTCCGGGCCGCCCCCTCCAGGCCGCACGGAGGGTTTTCCCTCCCGCGCAGGGCCCCGTTCCCACAGCGGCGCCGTCCCCTCCCGCGCGCCCCAAGGTCACCCGCCCGCCCGCGTCCTCCTCCCCGCCGCCGCGGCCCTACCGAGGGTGCCGGGCAGGCGGGCGGGCGCCGCGGGCGGCAGGAGCCGCGCGGTGCCGGCGGCGCCGCCCGCAGCCCGCCGGGCGGCCCAGGCAGCCGCGGCCCGCAGCAGCAGCGCGGCCGCCATGGTTGCTCCTGGCGCGGCGGCGGCACCGGCCGAGCCCTCCCTTCCCGGGGCGGGGCGGTGAAGCCAGCGCGCCGCCATCTTGGAGGCGGGCGGGGCGCCCCGCCTCCTTCCGGCGGGGCAGCGGGTGTCATGGCGGCCGCCATGGCGGTGCGCGCGCTGTGCGGGCGCCTGGCGGGCGCGCTCCGCCTGGCCGCGCCGCCCGCCGGGTACGAACGGGCCGCGGCGCAGAAACCCTAGTCGTGTTTATTCCAGTCGTGTTTATTCCGCGATCATTCCACGCGTTACTTAGAACCGGCCCCCCTCCCCGGGTTCACCCTCAACCCTGCCCTTTCAGCCCCCTAGGCCGCGTCGCGCCCTTACCAACGGACCCGAGATGCGCGTTCTCACCTAGCAGAGCGTGATTTTCCCCTTTCGCGTTGTTTTTTGCACAGGTCAGCGCTGGGCCCGCTCGCTGGGTCCCCCGTGAGGCCTGTGCACGCCACGCCGGCCCGCCGCGGCCTCGAGGAGTTCTTCGATGACCCGGAGAACTGGGGGGCGAAAAGCGTCAAGTCCGGTGAGCGCCGCGGTGCCTTCCCCGTGCGGCCTCGGGCCGCCCGCGCCCCGCTCAGCTCTGGGCTTCTCCCCGCAAGAGTGCTCCTTAATGACATAAAACTGACATATTGCTCGCATATGTTTATGTGCCCACATGCTTGATAACTAACTTTGTGTATTTTGTGCTTATGCAAGCAAAATATTCAGGGTTTATCACCTGTCTTGGCCTTACATGGTACTAGCTTCTACGTAGATGCATTTATGTTTCTTTTCCAGCAGTATATTTGAACAATCTCTTCATTTATTTACTTAATCATACAGCTTTGCCAAGGACTTACAGGCAATTGAATATTCAAAGCAAAACTGAGTATAAACAAGAATTTTTTTAAGAGGTAGTATTTTAAATTAATTAGCAGGTCCTATTTATTGAACAATCAGGGTCTACATAGGAAGTATATGTTTTCAGAAGTTTTCAGAAAAACAACTAAATGCTGTTGGACTGATTTGTGCTTTTTTTTTTTTGGTAACTTACAGGAGATGCATGGGATGTAAAGCAGCTAAGGGGCAAGAGTAGCGAAGATTTGCACAAACTTTGGTAAGAAGCTTCAGTGAACTAACATTTCTTTCTTTAAAGCAGCTCTGCAGTTTTTACAAAAATGTGACTGCATTAATCAGTAAGTTGCCTGCTGTACAGCACCACACGATTAAATCTGCGTTGGCCTTGGAGCAGCCTAAGTTCTAGTACTAGTCAGAGTATGAAAACTGTAATGCACCTGGTGGTGGTGGTGACAGAGTTGCCTCCGGCGTAGAGGGGGGTCAGGTTTGGGGCAAAGAGGTCAAGATTGATACTGTAGAATCCTGAACTTTGGAGTTTTTCAAAACACAGAAAAAAAGTTGGTACAAAGGGACACGTACATGAGCCCTGCCCACCTCTGCAGGCTCTCTCCAACCTACTGGGATCTTTTTGTTCTTATTGTGAAGCTAATGCGTAGGATATGTGACTATAAGTTGGACAGCTGTACTCCATCCAACAGAGTAGTGTGTGAATACTTGCCAGTGAATCTAGAATTTATTTTTGAAGCATTACTGTATTTCGTCTAGGTATGTCCTACTGAAGGAAAGAAACATGCTTTTAACTTTAGAACAAGAATCAAAGCGACAGCACAGGCCCATGCCAAGTCCAGAGCGCTTAGAAAAGGTAACCTTTTCCTATAAGCTATGAGTTGTGGAATATTTTACTGCCTTCATTCCCAGAAATTGCCCTTGAAGATTTCTAGAAACTTATTTTTGGATGTATAATACATTCTCTGATATCTCATTATTTATCCAAATTCATTTTGGCCAAACCTGAAAAAGTAAAGTCTGCTTTTGTGAGCCTCACTCCAAAAGAAGGCGGCAACCAATAAGCAGTTAAATACTTTGACAGCACCAGGATCAAATATTAGCAATCAGCTTATTAAAATTATCCCAGAGAGTTTAACACATTGCTATGTGTAATGTGTGTTACAATAATCTTATATGACAGACTTAAAAACCTTCACCTTGAATGTCAGAGTTTGGTCAGTGCCTATTTCTAACGGACTAACAGACCCAAATACTGTAACCAGGCTCTAAAGTGCAAACTACAATAACATGCAGGCACCCCAGGGCACCTGACATGAATGTGCATAACATATCTCCTCCTCCTTTCTCCTGCCTCAGAGCTGTCTGTACTTCTGGCATCAGCATTAGAGCCATCATGTAGTCTTCATGCGTTAGGCAGCTAATTCCTAATGAATGTTCAGATGGTGTGTTATTGCATCTGTGATCTCCTTTTAACTTAGGGAGCTTTTAAAAACAGTTACTCTGTAGTACTCCAGTACACACTTATGTAGCTGCTATGTAGGCCTTGCTAAGCTGTTCCACTTAGTCCATAAATGTGAGGTTACGCATGATGGGATTTCTAATATATTTTACCTATATCTTTTTTTTTAAACTTTGTTTAAAAGATCTTCACTTGAGATTCTTTTAAATTGTCAGATTGTATTCTGTTGGCCTATCCTGCAACTAATTCATGTTTTCAGGTAGCAAAATCTATGAAAGGAATAGATACGGTTGTCAGAGAAAGAGAAGATGCTTTGAGGCTTTTACAAACTGGCCAGGAAAAGCCAGTACCTGGTGAGTGGAGACAGAACTTCTTAGGACGCACCTTCTGGTATGGAAAATATATTTTTTTATATTCAAACTTTTTGTATAGTATTTCTGTCTATAGCATAAAACATCCTTTTGTTCTAACCTGCATGCAGAGGGAAGCATGTTTACTAGTCAGCTCCTGGGTGCTTTTTGATAGGTTATGTTGCTGTAATTCCTGATAAATAATTCTGTCATTAAACTGCACCCCTTAAATGAAACAGAGCTAGTCCTATGAAAATAATGGTTTCTCTATTGAGAGGATGTCTGTTACTGTGGTGGTTCCTTAGCATCTATCCATGCAGCAGCAGTACTGCTCAGCTTGAACTGGCTTGGAGGCTCCTGCTGTAGGGCAGCATCCACACACTGAGGATAACTGCTGTGTCCTGCATCTCCCAAAATACTGAATGGGAGGATATTTACATTGGAATTTGCTGCTCTTTTGCTGCTGTACTCTTTACAGATACTTAATTTTAACTTTCTACCTTAAAACTATTTAATGTCCAGAAACTTTAAATAATCTGTAATGATGATCCTGATGTCCTTGGCAGGAACTGCTCTTTCATTGCAGTGTTTTACCCTTATTGTATTGGCATTTAAAGTGGTCTTTATGCAATTTAATTCTGTAGTGAAAGTGTAGGTAAGAAAAAGGCATGTGTTATTGTAATGATAACTTTTAAATATTTAACACTCCATAAATAAATATGGATAATAGAGTATCAAATATACTAATCCCCTGGATTTATATTGCTGTAGATAACGCTTCTGTGCTTCTCTTTTCTTGGGGAAACAATGCCCACAAAGAGAGGAGATTAGACCCTTATTTGAAAGTCCAGCCTGCAGTTAAAGCAGTGGCTGGGTGGACACCACACAAAAGGGTCTCTGAGCGCATGCAGGTAGCTGCAGTGTATAAATAATAGCCTGCTCTGGATGCAATGGAGACTGGAGGTAAGTCTCTATGAGCCAAACAGAAATAAGGGAATCTTATGCTTAGAGGGGAAATATTCTTTTGCTGAAGCACTTTAGTACTTCATGTTACGCTCAAACACCGGCATTAAAAACCTGTAGCAGAAACAAGTCTAGTACAATTCAAGAGGGAAGATGCAAAGCTAATATTGTCTAATCGCTTTGCCTTGAACAGGTATAGTTTCAAGGAGTGGCCAATACCATGGTACTTGAACAAAAAATACAAAAGGAAGAGATTCTTTTACTTACCTCACGTAGAACGCTTCCTCAGGTAATTGTTTCTATTCCTGATATTGAAAATTATTTTCTGATCTGTCATCATCCCCCTCTTGCTTTGAAAGACTGAAATCAAGGCTTCAATAATCACAATGCTTGTTTCCTAGGAAATTTGTAAAATGTTCTGAAAGTTAAGGCAGAACAAAGCTAAAAATCAGGGGGATTTGCTCTTTTCCTGCTCCCATAATAATTAAGAGGTCTAGCTCTCATGTTGGTACTGAGAGTCATTTTACGTGGGAAGCACCTAAGGTGCTCCCAAAGCCTGTAACTACCCAAAGAATTCAAAACCTGCAGACATTGTTTTGCAGGGAAAAACAAAACAAAAAAACCCCCCACATTTCTACTCCTCAAAAGCAAATTAACTCCCAAATGAGCACTTGCTAGGAGCCTCTATTTGATTAGGGGTATAAAACCAGTTTATCCCTACAATCCTTCCCAGCTCTCCTTCTCAAATGATCCCTTACTTGCCTTACACTCCTTCTCCAGCTCTCCTTTGGTGATATCCCGGTCCCTCAGTCAGTCTTCAGGACTCTAGTTTCCTCTCCTTCTCTTCCCTATCTTCACCTCCTGAAACTGCAGCCATTTAACACTGACTGCTAAATCTGTATCCATCCTGGTTTGAAGTCCTCATTCCAGCCAGTTTCAAGTAGAATATCTGGTAGCATTTCCAACAGATACAGCATCTTTAATAAGCTCAAATTGGCAAAACTGAAGTAGAATATTGCATACTATTTGGATAAAATAAGCTAGAAAAGAGTAAAGTATCTTGAATTTAACCATTGCAATGTTTTTATTTCAGGCTCAGACTTGAAAAAAATTTACGTAGAAGAGCAAGAAAGCAAAATCTAGAGAAGAAGAGGAAGAAAGTTTTAGAAAAGAAGTTCCCTCACCTTGCTGAGGCATCTCAGAGCCAGTAACACACTGGAAGAGCACAGCAGCTGCTTGCTTGACTGTGACTAGAACATGAAATTAAAGTTCTGAAACCAGTGAACAAGTTGACTGAGCTTTCCTGAGAGTATCCATCTTTTATCTCACAAAGCTTGACCACATTTAAATTGTAATCTAGAATTAAAGAGCAGCTTTGGAACATGCATCAAAATTATCTTAACAGTTTTGTCTAAAAGCATTTGAAAATTTAGAAGTGAGAAAAGTGAAACATATATAACAACAGTAAGAAGCAGCAGCTCTCAGCCAGGTAGAAGTATAAAATAGGGATATTTATCCCATTTAACATGCTCCAAGGAACTACACTTTGTTCTACTCTGTCTGACTTGTTAGAAAGTATTCAGTATTTGGCATATGAACATTTATAAATGGAGTCTTTATATTTGTAGATACTTGTGCCAAATTCATGCATTTGTGTCATTTTCTTCATTGTGTACAAGTCTGTAATAAGCTTCTGTGAGCGGAAGGTGGAAAAGTAAAAACTCTTACTGCTCACTACTACTAGGAGGATAAATGTACTTCATGAAAACTTTTAACTTCAAAACAAAATAATAAAGTCACCTTTTACATAACTACTGGTCTTTCTGGAAGGAAAAGTTCTCTGCAATGTAATGTGATAAAACATTGGAAACTGCAAGGGAATCAAGATACATGCACTAAGATACAAATACTGTTGACATTCGAGTATTCCAACTTTATCTTGCTTGAATGCAACCTAGCCTAAGCCGCCTTCTTCTCTTATGATGGCTATAGTTGGTGAGTGTCTGCTACTAGTGGTCCACTTAAGCTTGCCTCTATGAGAAGTGTGTTTTGGCAGTAGCTTTGAAAGTCAAGAACAAAGTAATTGTCATCAGGGTAGACTTTTGATAAATTATTTTATTGTTTAGAGGTAACACATAACTATTGTCAAGGAAAGAGCCCACCATTATAACCAAGGAGTCTTTTAGGGTACCCAGAATTTAGCAGTGTTGTTTACATTTTTTTTAAAACAGTTATATGCTATTTGGTTTTCCAAAGCTTTTAAGATAACTTAAAGCATAGGTTTTAAGCAAAAACTTAATTGTGTCCCAAAACAGAACATCACACAGTTGTAAAAGCAAGTAAGGTTAATAGCAACACGAAGCTGCATCCTGCCAGCCAGTTCCAGCTGAGAAAAGAAACCCTCCGACCTCCTCCGCCCCTGAGTGCACACTCCCTTTGCAAAATACAGGCACTTACTACCCTGCTCGGAGCCAGCTGAGGGAGCCAAACCAGCAAGAACCAAGTAGGATCTGCTCCTTTCAGGGACCAGCGAGCTGCAAAATGTCAAGCCACATCCTGAGGTCTTCTCTGAGTCTTGTCCTAGTTTTGGAGAGGCAGCTCTTGCCTTAACTTCCCTGTCTCTGAAGTGATGCTTCTCACCTACATCACAAAGGCATTCAGCATATTATATACATTCCTACGGATGAGGTGGAAAGGATTAACTGATTACCAAAATGAAATTGCTCCATAACAGAACAATTAACAAACCAGTGCATAGTATAACATTCTCTAATTGGAATGTAACATTTTCATTAATTTGCACTGAAACAAATCACCCATGGCAAATCAGAAATATAGAAATACTTTCAGCTTTTAAAACAAATGAGTTGGAAACTGTTTCTCTGCATGTACTCACTAAGCTGCTCAAATGTGGAAGCCAATTTTATTTTTAAAAGGGAAATAAGAGGAATTTAAGGCCAAAGTATCAGCGAGGAAGACTTAAATGTAAAACTAGATAAGAGTTTTTTAATAAATTTGATGCACAGGCATTTGCAAGGTTAGGCCTCTATCTATTAGCTAACCTGTAAAGCTGTTCACAGGAAAAGATATTAGATAAAATAGACATTTATACAAAATTATAAAATGCTTGTTATATGAATTATTGCTTTACAAAGGACATAAACTTCCTTTTTCTATGATAGTACCAATTAGGTCTCCCAAAATTTCTAGCTTGTTAAAATGGAACTTGAATTATGCAAAAAAAAAAAAATATATAAAATTTCTACAAAAAAAGTCCATCCCATTCCTGAGTACGCTAAAGCTATAAAAGAGAAGGAGTGATGAGGAAGCAGCAGTTTTCACAGTAAAACGTTTAAGGGCATTTTCTTTCTACACACTGTTTCCCTCCTTCTTCATATTCTTGTTTAGAAATCCACATCTGTTGAAAAGTACCCTGTGGGGGGAAGAAAAAAAAAAAAAAAAGGCTTAAGAGAAACGTGATTAGCTTTTCATAGAAGGAAACAAGCCCTTACATTAAAAGGGGTAAGAGGACTTCACTGCTTCAGTGAGTTTTCCTTTGTCTTTGATATTGCTAGTGATTAAACTGAGGTTTGCAAGTCGCAGCACCTCAATCTTAATTTCAGCCTCCTTTTCCAAATACTGCTAAATGAGTCTCTGCAAACTACCACAGCGTTCAGTAACTTGTACCATTAAGCTCAGGGATATGATGCAGCAAAAAGTTTGGTACTTCCATCATATAGAACTGGTTACTTCTAGACATCTTATTTCAGGCCCTTGTATTGCCCATTAAAAACAAAGAGGACAAATAATTAGTTTTTATATTTAAAACTCACAATGACTCGGAGGGTTTTTTTGTTTTGCCTCTCCCTTTACCCCAACCGCAGACAGGACAGCGACTGCCTCAGCAGCATGAACTCTTCAGTTCTCACCCATACGGAATTAACTTTTTGGGTACCAATTGCCCCTTCACATAGCAACATAGTAACAGAGATTTACTAACCAAAGAAGCCAAAATGGAACCACCAATCCATGAACTGAACCTCCGTTCCACTGTTGTGTTGTTTGCTATCAACTTCAGGCGCATGCTCTAGATGGAAAAGGATATTAAAAAATAGAGCAATCAGATAAAAGTGAGTATTAAAGAAATCTTGCATTTTATACCAAGGCAAGTTCTCAGCATACTGTATAATGCTCTTAATATTTCCTTTAGTACCAAGTACTTTAAATTACAAATACATTAAACACCAGATTCCTATGAGTAGGATGTTTTGCCTGTGGTATCCAGGAAGAACAATTCCTGTTACAAAGTGACAATTTAGTCAGCAACACTTTAGGAAAGAGGCAATCCAGGGAAACAGTGACAATTGCTTGGGTTCAGTTACAGGGCTTCGAATCACACTCTGAAAGGATGAATGGTGAAGTTCAGCAGGACTTCTAAAAGAAATTCTTCTTTTCTTTAGAAAGGTGGGACATAAATATGCAGCAGAAAAGCAAAATAACAAGCAATGCAAAGCAGTAATAGTTTCTAAGTTGTTTTACCGGTGGAGTTTTCTGAGACAACTCCCTGTTCAATCTGTCCGTAAAACTCTGTATTAGAGTGTTTCCTCCTGCTACAATCACACTGCCATAGAGGCCCTGAAAGGAGAATAACAACTCACAGTATTAACTCTGAAAGCATTTTAAGAACAACTGTAACCCAGAATACAGTAGAATGCCACATAAATCCATGTCATTAACAGCAGTAATGCATTACATGACGCCCGCAATATCACCTCTACCAATTTAATACTGTTTAACTGCATCAACAAGTATTTCAAGAGAACTTGACACAGCACCCAACAGCTTGGCAACAGTTTAGCAACTAACAGTGCAGTTGGTGAACACTAATCATGAACAAGCCTACTCCTCCAAACTGACATGTGAGTTAGGGGGCCATCTGAATCCATCCAAACTGACACCTGAGAAAATGAGACCCGAGATTTAAAACAGCAACTTTTCCTGTAAAGCCTTTCCACTTCTACCTTCCCCCAGAAAGTCAGATACAATTAAGTTATCTTTAGGAAGCACATCTATCATCCTCAAAAATCCGTGAACATAAAGTGATTACAGGAAGGTAATCCAATACACATTCAGCAGTGCCAGCTGTAAAACCTGGATATTAACCATGTGACAGGTAGAGCCATCAACTAAAAGTAAAAAAAAAAAAAAAAACACCAAAAAACACAACCCAATTCAGCATTTTGTAGGACAGAAACAGTAATCCTACATGCTCTTACATACAACTATGTAATACTTCAGAAATTTTTCGAGCAAGTTTCTAAATATCCTAGAAAATTCGCTTTCTTCAGCAGTCTTCTACTTCTAAAAAAAAAAAAAAAAAAAAAAAGCCACAAAAATATCAATGCTTTATATAATGCAAGTCTAACCAATACTTACCGGCCTGATGTCTATATCACACATTCCAACGCTTGTTGTGACAACATGGCTCACACCCAACATCGTGTTACCAGATAAACCCTAAGACAAAATTAGTGACAAAATTAGTAATGCACATGTCATTGCTTCAAAAGAGGAAGGAACATTACAGCTCTGAATGAATGAGTACTATTTACTAACAAAGGAGCTAAACATTTCTCAAGGGGAAAAAAAAGAAGCCCTTGTTTCCTATTCAGCTCATCACCATTCATTTCAAACTACATTTCCGTCTTTGTTACCCCAACTCTAATATTGCCCCACAAGTAAATCTGATGCCCGAGCCACACAGTGTAAATATATTACAACAAAGCAAGAAGTTGAGAACATTGTACAAAAAGAAGCCATATGATAAAATTCAAAGCCTTCACATTATTATTACATTTCATAGTTGTTTTACCTTTACATTGGAAGGGTCAAATAATCCCTCAGGGATTTTTAGACGCTCAGCACCAAAGTCACAGTTATAGCCGTTGGGAAACTCGTAATGAACTGTTGGCATCTGTGCTGCTACCCTGGAGCATTAGTCAGAAAGTAACACACTAAGATACTGCAGAAATAGTACAGTAAGTTATTTAATAATTATAAGCTACATTTTCTAAGAGAACATTGTGACTGATATGATTTATACCGTTGATAACACTGACTGTAATTTCATGCATCTTGGAATAGCAAGAAGACCTGATCACCTCGATGTATATCATATTCTTACTTCCAGAAATAAACAAATTTTATCTAGCAACCTTCCTCTGTAATACAGCCACCCAGAAGCACATGCTCAACTCATTAATAATTTTATAAGGAGGAAAATAAAGACATACTGTTCATCATAGGTTGAATCCGACACTTGGAGGACAGAAGCTTGGAAGTCCTGAATAACACACTACAGAGATAAGAATAGTAAGAGTCAGTTCAATGAAATTATAGACATAGAAATGTTCACAATAGTTTTCTGTGACTTAGAGGGAAAAACGTGACATCCTTGCAAACAAAATTTCCTTATAGGATTCATTAGATGGGGGTGATAACAGGAGAAATGACCTACTTACATTACACATGTAGTTGTGCCAAGACCTTGTGACCTGAGGTAACTTCTCTTTTCTCTTCCAATTTGCTGGCGATCCCTCACGAACTGCCTCCTGAGATGGTAGGAAATATGGATTATCAGTTAACGGCTTAGGATCCCTTGCAAAACTAACACTTAAAGTGACTTTCCCACCTTAGAAGCAATCATGTATGGAGGAATTATTTCTATGTTCATCTCCTGAAACAATTCTCGGCATTGCATAGTAATAAAGTCTCCTGCAAGTGGCGATTTCAC